GCCCTCTATTTTTGGATTTTAGTTAATTTTAGAAGTAATCAACTTGACAATCAAGAATAGCCATCACAATCCCTATGGCTAAGATGTGACCTTCAAGTCAGTTATTCTCAGTAGCATGTTCTGGGTTTTTAAACCATGTCCTTACTTTGGGTTGTCACACATAAGCATCTTCTAGCCTTGCAAGACCTCTGGAGGTTACTATTCTCACAACTTCCCAACAGTGACTATCCTCACAGCTCCCCAACAGTGATTGTCCTCACAGCCCCCTAACAGTTATGCTCTACTTTAGCCTGTGGAGTTTCATTCTAAACATTCTATTTAGTGTTCGGCCTAAAAGGAACCCTGCTCTCTAGAACTCACCCTTGCCTTGGCTAGCTCTATCCTGTTTCTACCCCACAGACAGCAGTTATCTTGACTGGTGATTTGTTTCTTGGTCAAGTAAGACATGTATGGTTGGCTTGGCATTTCTCTTACTCCCTGTGCTGGCCTTCAGAAAGGAAGTCCTGGTAACTGAAGAACTTGCCTCTCTTGTTCCCTTCTCTTGGGAATTATCACCCTTGACTGCTATAACCAGGCTTTCTACATGTCCTCTTCAGAACTGAGATGCTGACAATGTGTTATGAAGTAAGGTTTTAGATCCCTAAAGGCCCCACCTTTGTGATTGGGATTAAGACTCTTACAGATGAAGGTTTGTACACGGCCCAGCCAGGTTGCCCTCTGCCTGCTGCTGTGTGCCTGCTTTGGGGCAGAATGCAGATACAGGTGCCATTTTGAAAGCAGAGAGCAGTCCTCAACAGACAACCAAATCTGCCCATGTCGTCTCCGGATTCCAGATGTTCCCAGCCTCTGGACTTAATGAAATAAATTGCCTTTTTGTTTTCCAATATGTAAAACAATTTAAAATAACTGTTCTAGCTAATTACTAGGCACTCTGTTTTGGACACTGTGATTGTTCTAGTTTGCCACTCTGTTGATGCAATAAACACCACGATCCAGAACAACTTGGTGAGAAAGGTGTTTATTTCATCTTATCCTTCCAGGTCACAATCCATCGTTGAGGAAAGTCAGGACAGGAACTCAAGCAGGAGCAGAGCAGGAACCATGGAGGATGCTGCTTGCTGGCTTGTTCCCTGGCTTATGTTGGGCCACCCTTTTTTTTTTTTTTTAAACAACTTGGGACCATCTGCCTAGGGATGGTACCAACCATAGTGGGCTTGGCCCTCCTACATCAATTAGCAATCAAGAAAATGTCTTACAGACACGCATACAGGCCAATCTGATGGAAGCAGTTCTCAGTTGATGTTCCCACTTCCCAGACTTTTCAAGTTGATAACCAAGATTAGTTATCACGGTGATTTTGAAGTGTTTTTACTATTTTACTAGCATACAGAATAATGAGTTCCATTACATATGCACATATTTATCAGTGTACTTGGCTGAATCCTCTCATTACCTTTCTTCCTTCTTCCCGTGTCCTGCTCCCAAATTTCTGTTCCTTTTAAAGTACCTGGTCTGTGATATTCTGCTGAGTCAACACAGACACCCTAGAAATGGTGCCCACTATCTGGAAGAAGTTGTTTGATGTCTCAGCTACAGTTCGACTGGTGTTCATGGTGAGGGTGTGTTACTGCAGCATGGGGAAGTGGAAATCTTCTTTACTTGTCCCTTTTCTAAATTTTTGAGGATGTTGCCTAGGTCCTGACTTTTCCACTTTTGATTCTGGTTTCCATATGAGACTGGGAATGTCTGCATGGCGTGACTGTAGACTTGGTGTTGATCTTCAAACACAGACATTTAAGGGAGGATGTTTCCCCTGTGGATACTTCGTTAGCTTTAGCCTGCAGGCTTCACTATGTAGTAGTTTTATTATTGAAATGCTTTCTGATTTTGATTTTCAGTATAGTTCCTTCTTTGATCTGTGGGTTACTTGAAGTTATTATAAGGTATGAGTCCTTACACACACACACACACACACACACACACACCACACTTGCAAGCATTTCCCTCTGTAGGCAGCTTCTCTTTCAGTTTCTTGGTCTCATCCTTTATTGTACAACTTTTTGATTTTGGTCAGGTCAATTTATGAAAAAAGACAATTTATAGATGCTGTTTTTTGTAACCTATTTAAGAAATATATGTTTCCCTCAGGACTTTGATATTCTGTTTCCACAGTTGGTTTTATGATGCAGTGGTTCTCAACCTTCCTAATGCTTCAAACCTTCAATACAGTTCCTCACGTTGTGGCAATATCCAACCATACAATTATTTTCCTTTCTATCTCATAACTGTAAATTTGCTACTCTCATGAATCATAATATAAATATCTGATATGTGACCCCTGTGAAAAGGTCATTTGATCCCCAAAGGGATCTTGATGCACAGGTTGGTAATTACTGACTTCTGGTGTATCTTGAGTTATCTTTGATGAAGATAAGTAGGATTAAGCAGGGTTTCTTGGAACAGATGACTAGATATAATTAGAACTGCTTAAGAACTATATTTTGCCCTATTTATCTGTAAATTTATTTATTTTCAATTTTTTTAAAAATTTATTTTATGTGTACAAGTGTTTTGCCTGCATGTATGTTTGTGCACCATGTGTGTGAATGGTGCCAGTGGAATCCAAGAGGGTATCATGTCCCTGGGACTGGATTTACAGACAGCTGTGAGCCACCACATGGCTGGTGGCAATTGAACCTAGATCCTCGGGGTCTTAGCTGACCCATTTCTTAAGCATCACTTACTATAGACTTTTCCATCTTCTTAATCTCCCTCTCCTCTCTCTCTTTTCTCTCTCCTCCCTCTCCTCTCTCTCTCTCTTCTCTACCCCCTCTCTTTAATTCTGGGTTTTGACTGAACTTCAGGTTCCATGTGTTCAGTACCTACCTCTTTGAATTGTGTCCTCAGACATCTTTTCTGTTGTTTGCTTTGGGGAAGGGCCTCACTGTTTCCTGGCTGGCCTTGAACTCATCCTGTAGCCAAGCGGGAAGCTGATATTTCAGTCTCCCCGCTTCAGCCTCCAAAGTATCTCAGGTTAAGACTGAGTCACTAGGTCCATCTTTAACACTGTTTTATTCTGAATTTTTAATCTTTATTTTGTGTGTGCAGGGGTGGGTGGATGCATGTGCCAATCAGAGGACAACTTTAGCATCCAGTTCCACTTTGCTGCCAGGTGCACTGGGATTATGAACAAAGTCTGTTGTTTAGTCCTCTGTTGCCAGCATCTCTGCTGTCCTCCACCTTGCTCCGTGCTCAGGGAAGTTACCAGGGTGGATTTACACAAGTAGATCCCAACCCCTTTGATTTGGGGGTCAAAGGAGCATTCAAGGACAAGATCAGAGGCCATGAAGTTGAGAAAGATTAGGGTCTTTTATTATTCAGGCATTTGTCTCTGTGTCTTATTATTCGTGTTACACATTTAGATACCTGTTCTAATATCGCCCCAGATGCCATTGCTCTTCTGAAGGCAGCTACCCCTTCAAAGCTCCTCTAGGGTTCTGTCACTTATGGCCTCTTCCTTTCTAAGAGAGGTGTTAGCTCTTATGATTGCAAATCATGCCTGGGCTCCTGATCAATCCTTTGGTGCCCCCTAAGCCTGCCTCCTAACTGCTCATGGTCAGTCTTTTTTACATATTAAACTCTGAGAGACATTTTACTTTGAACATGTTCTCTGTTCTCTATAGTGGCACGGGCATATTAGAATTTTAAGAAACTAGACCTAATACTGAACATCTTTGCTGAATAAACTTCATTTTATGAATTTGGTTTTTAGGAATTCTTGGGTTTCCCTAGCAGGCATCACAACACCCTGTGCTTGGTGACCTTTGCATTAAATACCTTTAATTTTATCACTTTCACCTCTGTCCTGCCATTCTTTGGCCTCCATCCTAATGTTGAGCAGAAATGCTGTTGCCTATTCCCGGCTTTAAGTCAAAGTCACTGAGAAGAACACTCTTTTGTAGACCCGGAGAGCTACACCATTGAAGTCGACAGGATTCTCTTCTCTCTGAGTTTGTTAGTTTTTCAAATCATGAACAGATGTTGACTTGTGCTGAATGCCTTCCTTCATGGTTTGAGGTAACCACAGAGACCCTCTCTTTCTCTTTCTGTTCTGCTGTGGGTCCCAGCCCTCGGCAGTGCATGCCAAGGTCAAGGCTGGGGGACTTTCCTTCCCTGGCCAGTCTCAGAAAGCAGAGCTGGGTCCCTCTCCACTCCCAGTCCTCTCAGAGTGAAATGACTTCGGGTCCCCCCCCCCCCCCCCCCCCCGCTTGCAGAGCCTACAAGAAGTCCTTGACTACATCATGTTGATGTATTGTTTTGTGTATAAAACATCTCTTTTGTGTTTATCTAAGAACTCCAGGGCGTCAGTAAAGAAGGGAAGCCATAATGAAAGTGATGGGGAGAAAAGCTCATGCTGATCTGAACCTATATTTGCAGCGATCCTATAAAGTGGGTCTTAGCACACTTACTGGACAGGGGCAAGAACGTGCTCTGAAGACATGAGAGGCCTTGCTCAGGACATCGTGAAAGCCTCCCTGGATTCAGATCTTGAACTTTGTAATCTTGCACAGGGAATGCGAATGTCGCTCAGTTGGTAGAGTGCTTGTCTAGCATGCCCCACTGAAGCTTGGGTTCTATCCCCAGCACTGCATAAACTGGGTATAATGGTGCACACCTGTAATCTCAGCATGGGGAGGTGGGGGTGGTGGAGGCAAGAGGATCAAAAGTTCAAAGGATTCTCAACTCATTGAGTTCCCGGACAGCATGGACTATGGACTTTGTGCCACCATATGTGAAAACGAAAACAAGAAGAAACTTCATTTATTTTCTCCTAACAGAGAAGTGAGACCAGGTCCCAATTCATCACCCACCCACCTCCCCCCAGTCTGGGCTTCCTTTCCCTGCCCTTTGGAGCCTCAGTACTATGTCTCTGAGTCTGGTTCCTCACTTCCTCCCAGCTTCCCACTCACTTCCACAGCAGAAGGGCCTGAGGCCCATTGTCTATGCTCTCAGACCTTGCAGGCTCTCCGAAGTGGATGACTATTCTGCCCATGCTGTGAGTATTGGTAACACACACGTGTGCCTGGGCAGGAGTCACAGATCCCCCCTGCTCTGATTCTCCTGGTGCTGAGATGGGCTGGCATGTGCTACTGCCTGGCCTGCTCCTTTCCCTGCCTGTGGTAACAGGGTGGACCACTTCCAAATGCCTACTGACTGAAGGCTCCCAGCTGCCCTTGGTCTCTCGCTACTTCTCCTTCTGCTCAGTGTCCCCATTGTCCTTGCTTGCTGCATGCAACTCAGTGAAGAATCTGACAGAGACCTTGGCGGATGTGCCTCAGACTGTGGAAGGGCTCTGCCTTGGCGGCACTGTATCTTCTCTGCCTCCAGATGCTTTCTCTGCTTTTCCTGGACTCAAGATCCTGGGGCTGAATCTGCATCTCAGCCGACTCCAGCCGGGAGCTCTCCGAGGCTTGGGACAGTTGCAGAAACTCTCTTTCCTAGACCATCCTTTTGGGAAGCAATCCCTCTTTATACCTCCTGATGCCTTTGGTGACCTGATTTCCCTCCAGAGACTCCATATCTCGGGCCCCTGCTTGGACAAGAAGGCAGGCATCCAACTGCCTCACAGTCTGCAATGGCTGGCTGTCGTGTTCAGTTGCCTTCAGGATGTTGGGCAGCTGGCGGGCATGTTTCCAGATCTGGCGCAAGGTTCCTCCTCTTCCAGGGATCCATGGGCCCTGCATATGTTGGATCTCTCATTCAACCAGGGGCTGAAGATGGCTAGTCCTGGGTCCCTCCAGGGTCTTCAGCTGGACACTCTGAAGCTGGACCAAACACCTCTGGAGGCATCGAGAGTGAGGGCCCTGGGACTTCAGAAACTGGATGTCCTGTCTGCAACATTCACTGCTGTGACTGAACTGCCAGCCGAGGCTGTTGCCCACTTTGAGCTGCAGGAGCTGAATGTGGGAAAAAACAAGATAGGATCTATATCTCAGGAGGCCCTGGCTTCCTGCCACAGCCTGAAGACCTTGAATCTTCAAAGCACTGGACTGACTAAGCTGCCACCAGGGTTCTTGGCTGCCATGCCTAGGCTTCAGAGACTGTACCTGGCTGGAAACCGACTGCAGAGCAAAACGCTGTGCATGAATGAGACTGGAGACGTGTCAGGGCTGATGACTCTGGATCTGGCAGCCAACGGGCTGGGTAGCCTGCCCCCAGCCACCTTCTCCTGTTTACCACACTTGCGGGAGCTGCTGCTTCAGGACAACCAGCTGCTTTCCCTGGAGGGGCAGCTATTCCAGGGTCTACAGCAACTAGAGACCTTGAATTTGGATAAAAATCCCCTGTTTAACCTGGGTAAGAACTGGTTGGCTGCTCTGCCTGCACTGACCACCCTTAGCCTGCTAGACACCCAATTGCCACTGAGCCCAGACCTTGGCTTCTGGGGAGCAAAGAGCCTGCACAACTTGAGACTGAAGCTTCCCTCTGTCCCTGCTCCGGCAGTATTGTCCCTGCCCATGAATCTGATCAGCTTAGAGCTTCAAGCAGCCTCAGGCATGAAGCATTGGGGGTTATCTCCAAATGTCTTTCCTTCCTTGGAGACCTTGACTATAAAAGGCAGGGGCCTGAAGCTGGAGGTCCAGAATGCCTCTGAGGTCTTCCCCGCTCTTCAGCAACTTTCCCTGCTCCAGAATAGCTTGGAGGCCTTCTGCTCACAGGACACCTCCAACATTTTCCTCTGGCAGCTCCCCAAACTTCAGACCTTGAAGATTTGGGGTGCTGGAAGCAATTCCAGACCCTGCCTCATCACTGGGCTGCCCAGCCTACAGGAGCTGAAGCTGGAGGCCCTTCAATCCATAATACAGCCCCGTTCAGTACATCTGGAGGAGCTGCTGGGTGAGCTTCCACAGCTCCGGGCCCTACAGCTGTCCGATACAGGGCTCAGGTCACTGTCAGCTGCCGCTTTCCAGAAGCTGGGCAGACTCCAGGCCTTTGCACTATACAATGAGAAGGACTTGGTCCTGCATGACAGTCTGAGGGAGTACAGCCCTCAGATGCCCCAGTATATATATATTCTGCAGTCGAACTTGGCTTGCCAGTGTGCCAATGCATGGATGGAGCCATGGGTTAAGCAGTCCACTAAAACCTACATATACATACTAGGCAATAAGTTATGTCCAGCAGAAGAGGGGGGCCCTGGCAAGCATACACTCTTCTCCTTTCTACGGGACCACTGTCCACAGTCTTTGGAGTTAAAACTCTTTTTAGCCAGCTCTTTTTTGGTGTTTCTGATGATTGCTTTGCCACTCCTCCAAGAAGCCAGGAGCTTATGGATCCCCTTCCTGAAGGCCTTGTTCAGGGTTTGGCTCCAGGGTTGGAGGGGTCAGGAAGATGAAGGAAAGAGGTTCCTTTTTGATGTATTTGTGTCCCACTGCAGGCAAGACCAGGGCTGGGTAATAGAGGAACTTCTGCCCGTTCTGGAAGGCTTCCTTCCAGCTGGTCCTGGCCTACGCCTCTGTCTCCCTGACCGAGACTTTGAGCCTGGCAAGGATGTAGTTGAAAATGTGGTGGACAGCATGGTAAGCAGCCGTGTCATATTCTGTGTGCTGAGTGGCCAGGCCCTGTGTGACCCTCGCTGCCGCCTGGAGCTCCACTTGGCCACCTCTCTCTTCCTGGCTGCCCCCTTCCCCCCAGTGCTGCTGCTAGCCTTCCTAGAACCCATTTCCCGACACCAGCTCCCTGGCTACCACAGGCTGGCTCGGTTGCTTCGGCGAGGAGACTACTGCTTGTGGCCCAAGGAAGATGAAAAGAAGGCTGGCTTCTGGGCTTGGCTGAAGAGCAGGCTAGGGCAGCCAGGGTTAGAACAGGGTGGCGCGTGTGGATTTTAGGGTGGGGGTAGGAGAAGCAAGCTAGCCTGGCAGGGAGTCAGTGTGTTTGTGGGGGAGGGGGCCACAGTGGGGCTGAGAGCCTGAAGTCAGCTTTTGTAGGTGCAGGAATCCACATGCTGGCAACACAGGTTGGAGCGCTCGCGGGGGTGGGTGGGGGGGTGGGGGTGAGGGATGGGGGGTGGGGGGGTGGGGGTGAGGGATGGGGGGTGGGGGGGTGGGGGTGAGGGATGGGGGATGGGGTGCTGGAGGTTGAATGAGGAAAGCTGAGTGACAGCAGGTGCCCATGGGGGTATGTGACGTTCCCATGATCTCTAAAACCTCAGTAAACTGGCTAACCCCAAGAAATGATGGATTGGTTGAATTTTTTATTTAGTGGAAATGCATGAAGCAGAGGACCAAAGGGGAAATGCAGGCAGCAGAGGTTGGGAAGAAGATAAGGCCTTTCTAAGCTTGGGACTTGGGACCAGGCCAAGTTCAACCTGATCTTCAAGAGGCCAATTGGTCCTTTTGTATACAGGGGCATGGGAGACGTGTTAGTTTCACTTCTGCTGCTGTGATAAAACCTGGACCAAATTCAACCCAAGGGCTGGGCAGTGGTGGCACACGCCTTAATCCCAGCACTTGGGAGGCAGAGGCAGGAGGATCTCTGTGAATCTGAGGCCAGCCTGGTGTACAAATTGAGTTCCAGAACAGGATCCAAAGCAGAGAAAAGAAAAACCAACCAACCAACCAAAAAATCAAAATGAAGTGAAGGAGGAAAGGATTATTTTTTGGGGGGGCAGGGGTGGGGTGGGGGTGAGGGCTTAAAATTCCAGGTCAACTAGGACTGATATTTCACACAGCAGTACCTCCAACCAGGGAACTCACTTCACAGCCAAGATGTTCTCCAAGAACTATGGAGGGTGGCGCTTACCACTGGGTGGTTGGTACCACCCAGAGTGGACTTGGTTCTTCAATTGACAATCAAGACAGTTGCCCACAGTCATGCCCTAGGCCAATCTGTTCTAGCCAATTTCTCAGTTGAGGCTTTCCTCTCAGATGACTTTAGGCTGTGTCAGGTGACAGTTAAAGCTAACTAGGATAGAACAGTTGACAGCCACAAAGCTGGGATGCCATCCAGGAGATCATTTCTCCTCAGTGAAAACATGAAGATATGCTCATGTAGATCATCCTTTTGAGCCTCCAAACAGCACTGTCACCCTGGATGCTCTAGGTATGGAGCCAGCCACATGTAGCTGCCAGTGAGCCTTTTATACTGACTGCTTCTTTATTGATGGACCAATCCCCCACCCCCACCTGGGACCTGCTAAAGATCCTTTAAGATCCAGCTCAGCCATCACTTTCTCCAAAGGCCTGTGCTGAGCTCCCAGACTAGGGCAGGGTTTGGGAAGAAAATATATTACTATTCCCCTTTCTCTCTCTCCTAGTTCTGCCTGTCCCAGCCTGGCCTTGGGACTCTCTAAGTAACTGGGGATGAACTCCCAATCTTCTTGCCTCCTCATCTCAAGTGCCAGGATTGTGTGTGTGTGTGTGTGTGTGTGTGTGTGTGTGTGTGTGTTATCTGGCCCAGCTATATTTCTCTTTCTTTTTAAAATACCATTTTTTTTTTCTGAAACTAGAGTGCCATTGCCCTCTTTAAAACTATGTGGCTTTAGTATGTCACTTATTCTTTGCACACACGTCCTGTTCTGTAAAAAAAGGGATAGCACCTTTCCCCCTCAGTATTTTGAGATGATTAAATGCATTAATATGACTGAAGGAACAAGAGAAACATCTACCAATTCATTACACATGTGTTCAATAGAAGCTTCATATTGCAGGACTGGATTAATAATCCATACTGAGTGATTAATAATCCATACTGTTCTTGAAAAGGACTTGAGTTTGCAGTCTAGCACCCACTTTGGGGCAGGAGCTCACAACAACCTCTAACTCCAGCTCCAGGGGATCTGACACCCCTTTTTGGCCTCGGAGGGTACTAGTCTGGTAGTGGTGGTGTAACTCCAGTACTCAGGCGGCAGAGGCAGGTGGATCTCTGTGAATAGTTCCAGGCCAGCCTGGTCTACCAAGCAAGTTCCAGGACAGCCAAACCAAACCAAAACTAAAAGCCAAAAACCAAACCAAAAAATCCAAAGTCCAAACATACAACAAAAAAGAATCTTTTAAAGAGAAAAAATTAAAATACTGTTTTATATTACTATATATTATATGTATATTGTTTATAAGCAAATAGACATATGTTGGAAGCATGTGCTTTGGAAGTGTGTTTTACTTCCAGGAATACTTGACCCAGAAGGTTTGGAAATCAGGTTGTGAAGCAAAGATGAAGGTAGACGGTGGAGTCTACTTCTGACCTAGGGGAAAAGATTCAGATAGGCATATGGAGATTGCTGCCAAACCAGATAGAACCCAAGGCTAGTTCTGGCCGGGATTTGGCCTCTTAGGGATTAAAAAAAAAAAGTTTTCCATTTTTGTAATAAAAATTCCAGGTTTTAATTAGACAAAAGACTAAGAGACAACAAGCGATTCCAGGCTGGATTTAGGGCGAGGGCTGCCCTCTTGTGGCCAATTGGTGTCTCTCTCTTTCTGTCTCTCCACCTCCGTTTCTGCTCTCTAAGACATCTCACTAGACCCTGTAAAGCTGTCTTTCCACCTTCAGACACCAACACTCTCTTTGATGTCTCATTCCACTCACACCTCCTTACTGTGTCAGAGCTTACTTCAAGTCCTCTCCTCCTTCCATGTGCGGCCTCTTTCTTCATGAAAGGTCAGGCAGAGAGCAAGGAAACATCTGGAATTTCAGGGCTTCAAATTTCAGCCTAGGTACCTACTGTGTGTGCGTGATATTGAGCAAGCTAACTTATCTCTCCAATACCCCACCACTTTTGTAAGTTGGGGTAACAATACCAACCTCATAAAGCTGCTGGCACAATTGAGTAAGGTATGCCAATAGTAACTTATTAAAACCAACACATTACATACATGAAATCATGGGATATATATTAAAAAGGAAGTCAGAATATAGTTTCTAGCTAAGGAGTTGGAAATGGGTTATTAAAACTAAGATGTAGAATTTCCCCCAAATGTAACACTAATATAGTAAGCTTTTCCTTTCCAAATACTAGCACTGTCAAGTTTCATAGCTCTCAATCAAAATAACAGCCAATAGTCATTCAACTTTTTGAGTGCTAGGAAGGTGATAGGCTCTTGACAGACATTCTTTGCCAATCTCTTTCTGATGAGTCTACAAAGGAAGATTTCACTGTTATCATTCTCACCCTCCAGACAAGGAAACTGAAATGTTAGAAGTGTAGGAGAGACAGCTCAGTTGATAAGGTGCTTGCCACATGATTAATAAGGGTTTGAAGTCAGGTTCTTAGAATCCATATAAAAGCCAGAAGTCTCAGTGCCATATGTAATGGCAGTATTGGGGAATGAGTCGGGAGGCAGACAGGCAGATTTCCAGAGCTCATGGGTTAGCTAACCTAGCAGAATCTTGAGCTCCAGGTTTAGCACAGACCCCATCTCTAATGAACAGGGCAGAGAATGCACCATGAAAGACACTCATATTGACCTCAGCCCTCCATAAGCATGCGTGCCTGCATGCACAGTGCACCGACCCACACAAACACACATGTACAAGAAAGGCGTTAGCACTTTGCCTAAGGTTTTACCTTAGGCATCCTGCATTGAAAAAGTAAGTGGCTTGAATCCAGAATCCATGCTTTACCTAATACTACCTTTAATTTTCAAAATGTCATGAGATGCAGGTTCTGCTCTGTCTCCTGAATTTTACAGAAAAAAAAAAAACAGGACAAATGTGATGCAGTATTTTTTTGTTTTTGTTGTTTTTCAAAGCTTCACAGCTTGGAAGTATCAGAGTTGGGATTTAGATCTATACCTGACTACAACCCCCACATTTCCAGCTTCCTATCAGATTTCTCAGACTTTAGAGTATTTGCAGCGTTTATCTATTACTATGACAAAACACCAAGGCCAAAACAACTTGGAGAGGAAAGGGTTTATTTGGCTTATGCTTCATTGAAGGAAGCTGGGGAACTCAAAGAGGGCAGGAGCCTGGAGGCAGGAGCTGATGCAGAAGCCATGGAGGGGTACTGCTTATTGGCTTGCTCAGCCTGCTTTCTTATAAAAACCCAGAATCACTAGCCTGGGGTGGCCCCACCCACAATTGGCCGAGCCCTTTCCTGTCAATCATTGATTAAGAAAATGTCCCACAGCCCATCTTATGGAGACATTTTCTCAATTGATCCTCCTTCCTCTCTGATGACTCTAGCTTGTGCCAGTTTGGCATAAAACTAGCCAGGACAGTGGTACAGACTAACCACAAATCATACTAAAATCATTCAGCAAGAAGAATTAACATGTTTCCAACACCCACGAGGATTCAAGCTCCGAACAAACCGATTTACATAATAACGGCCAATATCTGCTACCCATTGTTGGATCCTGGCTCTGAGTTAGCAGATCTAGGTTTGTTTCAATGACGCCTCACATAAAACTGTGACGTGGGTTCTATTATTGTTCTTACAACAGAAGAGGTGAGGCACAGAACTCTTCCAAACCACTCTGTAGCTTCCAAATTGTAGTTTCATCTGTCCAACTTTCTGCCCAACAGAATGGTCACTCTGGTTGTTAGGTTTCAAACCTGAGACAAATGGCTGAGATGGCTACTTAACACATCAAAGCGAACCTGGCCGCCAGGGTCTCCCTGCATCCCTCAGTCCCTACAGGCACCTCGGCCATTTGTTCCAGGTTTGAAACCTAATAGTTACTCTCTTTATTTGCTGTTATTTTCCCCTACTTTGACTAGCTCAACATAGTGACCCTGGCTTCTTCAGTGAGCTCTACCCTTTCTAATCTAGGCTCCGCCCACTAGGCGGTGCCATCACCACAGAACCAATGGGAAGAGTTAGGATCATCTAGGGCATACCCCGAGGCGTTGACCCTGCTAGATTTGTTCCGGTGCCAGAGTTTATGAGAAGATGACGCATTCATTGGCTGACGTCATCTGAGAGGGAGCGGACAAGGGGGAGTTGCCCACCGGTGCTCGCGCGATGCATTTTGGGAGTTGTAGTCTCGGAGATCCGGTTCCCGGGCTGGAAGGGTCGGGACTCCTCGTCCCAGCATCCCCCGCAGGAGCCTGGGAGCACTTCCGCCCTGTTGTGAAGTGGGTGAGTCCGAGTGGCGAATGGGTTGCAGCTGAGACTCAGGCGCTGGGCTGGAGGCTTAGGAGGTGGTGGTACCCTGGGGGGGGGAGGGGGGGAGACTGGGAAGGTGAGAGGGGAAAGTAGCGTGCGTGTGAATGTGTTTGTGTGTGTGGCGAGGGGGCGGGCAGAGGATGCAGCGTCTGGATTAGGGTAGGGTCACCGAGGTTGTCGGAGCGAAGAGTGAGTTGGAGGGGCCGGCAGTAAGGTGGGTCTTTCAGGGGTCTGCAGGTGAGGTGGAAGGGATGGGTTTTTGCCGTGTAGGGTCTCGGTAGTTCAGGCAAGGGAGAGGGGCCCTGGCAAAGAAGTGAAGAGGCCCTGAGCTAGAAGTCCGACCTTAAAATAGTGCTTCAATTTCCACACCCAAGTTCATGCTATCTGTGATGGGACTTGCTTTTGTGTTTATCCCCAAACCTGTACTACTTTACTCATTCTTGATGGCAGTGAAAGGCATCTTCATATACTGACCCACCCACCGTCTACTGACCCACCCACCGTTTACTGGCCCGGCCCACCCCACCCACCTCTACTGACTCTCCCACCGTCTATCCACCCACCCACCTCTATCGGCCCACCCATCCTCTACCGGCCCACCCACTGGCCTGTTTTATCAGCCGGTTCCTCCTGCATTCTCCCATCCAAGCCGTTTCACTTTTGGCCTTTCCGTTAGTATCTCTTAAAATTACGTGTCTTCAGAGAGCCTCTGCAGAAATGTCCACATTTTCATTTCTCCAGCTCCAACAGTGCGATCTGTTTAGCACTCAAGTCTGATTGGACCTTCAGTTCTCCAGCTTGGATTCCATCACTGGCGGGCTGCACATGTTGAATGAAATCTGGTGTCATAGTCTTCATAACTCCCTTTGCATCCCGCTTTTCACACACTCCACATTCCGAGGCTGTCAAAGTTTTCCCCATTTCCTGGGTGGGCCATTTGATTCTTCACTGTTCTATAGCCTATCTCTCTGGGGTGCCCATCCTAATCCTGTTGAATTCCTTCAAGCAGCTTGTCACCTCCAACTTAGCTCCCAAATCATGCTCTATTTACCACTTTTGATTAGTGTAATTATCTGTGACTTTTTCCCCCCCTCTTCCACTAGTTAGCATCATCAGGACAATAGTGGCTCATCTCAATTTCCCTTTGTCCAGCCCAGAACAGGAAGCCCCTAATGTAGATCAAGCAAATGAGTAATGTGGCAAATGTGGGCTAGTGACTGTCAGGGTGAGCTTTGTTAGCCCAGGCTTGAAGATGGCTATGGATTTCCAGGCCTATGAGCTTTAGTCTTCTTCCTGCCATTGATGTCTGCTTTGTAAGCTGAGAGGCTGAATCAGTGGCTGGGGGCTGGGGGGGGGCAGGTGTCCTTAACACAGGGATGCATGCTGCAATTTCCTTTTCCTGAGGTCTTGCAGCCATTGCTAATTGATCACAAGGCGGACCACCTTGGCTGGAGTTTTGAGAAACTTCAGGTTAGAGATGATGAATACTGTCAGATGTGTGGGATGACCGGAGAATGAGAGGGATTTTGCAAGATGACCATTGTAGAGGAACACAGAGTCTCAGGTCTCAGAAGGCAGGTATCGTGGAGGAGATGACCCTCAACCCAGCCTGAAGGAAGCTTAGCTTTTGGACACAGTGTAGAAGGGAGGAAAGCCACAGCAGGGCGGGAGCCCAGCGGCTCAGGGTTCTCAGCTTGCACACTTAGGTGTGTCCCAAAGGATGTACCTGCGCTGCCTGCCTATGAAGTGAGCTAGGTGCTGGCTTTATGCCTGATCAGGATCTTACTTCCTGCCCTTTGCAAAGGAGCATCTCTGAGTCTTTCTGAGCCATTCACAGGTGAAAGGTGGGAGGCAAGTGATGCTCCTGGGTCCTCTCACTCACTCCGTACTGTGTCTTCTGCCTTCAGTCGTGGGGAGCAGTCCTTCCCCAGGAGTCCCTTGAAGGGCGCCTTGCCAATGCAGGAAGTCACCGAATGAGGACAGCCCTGCCTGAGTGAAGCCTTCAGGCCCGGTGATGGCTGAGGCCTCACCTCCACCAGAGCCTGAGGACCTTCTGATTGTGAAACTGGAGGAGGACTCATGGGAATCAGACTCCAAACCCCAGAAGGAGGTCCATGGCCGTGTCCCCGGCCCCGAGGTTTCCCGCCGGTGTTTCAGACAGTTCCAATACCAGGATGCAGCTGGACCCCATGAGGCCTTCAGCCAGCTCTGGGCTCTCTGCTGTCGTTGGCTGAGGCCTGAGATCCGCCTCAAAGAGCAGATCCTGGAACTGTTGGTCCTGGAGCAGTTCCTGTCCATCTTACCCAGGGAGGTGCAGACCTGGGTGCAGGCACGACACCCTGAGAGCGGAGAGGAGGCTGTGGCCCTGGTGGAGGATTGGCATCGAGAGGCCTGGGCTACCGGACAGCAGGTGAGGCTCATAGTCTCCTCTCCAAGAAGCTGGTTAGGCAAGGCGGGGGGGGGGGGGGACGGACTGGGACTGAGTTAATAACTGCCCCCAAATGGCAGTAATAGTAATCATTGAGTAAGCTGTGTACTGAGCCCTGCTGTGTAGCAGGTGCTATTCCAACTGTGTGACTTGTAGTAACTCATTTAATCCTGCCACAGTTTAATAAGGTGGTCGGTACTATTAGCCTAATTTTACTAGTGAGGCTGTGGAGGCAAAGAAAAGAATAGGTAGTTGGCTCCTGGATTGTAGAGCCAAGACCTGCACTTGGAAAAGTCTAACTAGAGTATGCATGCCTAACCACCATGGAAACTTCCTCCCAGTATCATACAATGTGCCTTGTCTGTAGTACATTTTGTGTCTAACACAGTCATTTTTATATACTGGGTCTCTTTGGTTGCTTATAACAGCAGCACATAGAAAAAGTATTTCTGCCCTCATTTTGTAGCTTAGGGTTCCAAAAATCAGGTGGTTCCCAGAGGTCACTGGGGGAGTGAACTGGAGCCTAAACTCTGATCCTGGTGTTTCCAAGGCCATGCCCTCTGCACTACAGAACAGATGCCTCATCCGCAAACATGGAATTAAAATCCCTCTGGGGATGAGGCTCAGGTGAGGCGTTCACTGACATTCTGTGAGCCCCACTGTGCATCAGGCCCTGTTCTGAGCCTCTTCCCTCAGCCAGCCAGCCATAGACTGAGAAGTAGGTTCTCCTTTTCAGTTTTTTGAGTGAGTTAACAGTGAGGTCAGTAACACATCCAAATTTTTATAGTGAAGTGGTAGAGCCGAAAGGACAGTGGTGTTATGGACTCAACCTTCACAGTTTCAACCATTTATAAGTAACTCTGAGGGCCTATGATAGAGTATATAACTTTCCTATGACATAGAATTTGGACCCTGCTTGCAGCTGCCCTGAATAGTGAGCTCCGTAGCTGGCTTCAGGCTGAGACAGCCTTCTAGAACCTTCACCTCAAAACCTTGTAGCTCTCCACTTGTTTGTGTTTGAGAATGCGTATGTTGTAAATGGCAGGGTTTTCCGTCCATTTAGACAGTAAATCTCTGAACAGGTGTGAGAGCGGGCAAGGGAGGGCTAAGCTCAGGGCCTTTGCTCTGGGGTTCTTTTATGGACTGGCAAGAAGCTACCATTTCAAGTCAGAGAACAGAGCATGAGCACATGCCTTCCGAAAGAATACTCCACCCCCCCTCCACCCCCCCCACCCCCCCCACCCCCCCGTTTACTTCTTTCAAGAAGCCAGCTCTTTGAGTGGCAGAGAAGAAACAATGGAAACCTTGGGACTTTGGAGCTGGATGGTGTAAACGTGAAGCCTAGAGAGAGATGAGGATTGACTTAAGTTAAGGTCTTTTTTGATCCTTCATCTGTAAAATGAGATGTCAGACTAGAGTTTTTCAAATGACATAGCTGTGGGCTGACCAGAGGTTGAACTGCTTCTACAATAGAGAAAAGATATAAAGCAATGGTGTCTTCCCTGGGCCCCTTTCCCTATGACTTACTTTTATTCTCCAGCCTCTCTGCCTGCTCCTGGCTGCTCACAAACTTCACAGCGATGGGTTCACAGGGAAGAGCTTTCTTCAGCGCATGTACCACAGCTTGTGGCCCCCCCTCCACTGGGAGCTCTGACTCATTACCCTCTCTGGAGGCAAACTATAACTCTATAAGAGGAGGACATTTTTGGTCCTCAGGGTGAGCGGCCCCCTTAGAAAGGTTGGTACTTTCGTTCAGGGCTAAGTGACCCTAAGATGTTTCACCGGAATGGGTCTTGGAGTGCCACTGTCTTTTCATCTGGCGTCACTCCTGTGGAACGCCACTCCTCATCAGGCTTTCCGATAAAGCATACATTATTTTCCGGATAGTTTTTGGTTCAGAACTGAGCAGAGAGTATGGTGTTCTTAGAGGTGCCCTGGCCCCTTGGTAGTCTCCATCACTTGTCATCATCCCCTATCATAGTAGAACATTTATTACCCCAATGAGCCTGTGCTGACATCATCATCACCCAGATCATGCATTTCACACTGAGGCTAACTGTTGGTGATATGCATTTTATGGGTTTTGGCAGGCACATCATGACATGTGTCCACTATTGTGGTGTCATACATAATAGTGTCATTGCCTCAACAATCCCATGTGTTCCGCTTACTGACTCCTTCTCCTTCCAACCCCTGGTAACTGCTGGTCTTTCTACCATCGCCTGGTGTGGCTTTTCCCTGAATGCCACAAAGGTAGAGTCACACAGTTGGTGGCCTTTTTGCGTTGATTTCTTTTACTTAGTAACGAACACTTAGTGCTCCTCCATGGCTTTTCATGGCTGGCTACTGTTTTTCTTCTTGGCATGGACTTCTGTTTTGTTGTCTGGACATACCAGTTCCTCCAGTCAGGAAGCTAATGAGGGGGTATGGGGTATTAGCAGCCCTCTGGTACTGTGACAAAATACCATATCCAAAAGCAACTTGGACAGGAAAGGGTTTGATTGCCTTATAGTTCAGTTCACAATCTATCAGTGAGGGAAGTCAGGGTAGGAGCTCAAGCAGGCCCTGAAGGAAAAAACTATGGAAGAATGCTGCTTACCTGCCTGTCTTCTCTGACTTGCTCAGCTAGCTTTCTTATACAGCAGGGGCCAGAGTGGGCATGGCCCTTCCACATCAGTTAGCATAGGGAAAGTGCCCTATTTGCATGGGCTAATCTAGTCAAGGCTCTCCCCCAGTTAAACTCCCTCAGATAGCTCTGGGCTGTGTCAGGTTGACAGATGAAGATAAGTAGGGGAAGGAGGATCACAAGGGGGGAAGGGATAGGATGCAGGTGGCTTGAAGAGGGCAAGGGAATAATGGGAAAAGAAGGGTTAAAAGGGATGGGACGGGAAAGGTAGAACAGGTGTTATGAAGACATTTGAAAATGTCATGTGGGAAACTACCACTGTAGAAGCTTCTAAAATATGTACACTCATGCACACGCACTCACACACAAGACGCGTGTGCATATGTGCAGAATGGAGTTACCCCTGTAACACATAATGCTTCTCCCAGATACCAGGTTATCAAATAAAAGCCCTAGTGCTAGCTATGGGTTACCTGATTTCAAGTTGTTGGTCAGTGGGACCGTAAAGATCACTCCAGGCTACTGCCGTTGCTCTTTGCTGCCCTTCAGAACTTAATGGTAAGACCCTGTTGCTGAAGACACTACATACTTGAGTTGTAGCACAGGGAGAAATCAAGTTGGTAGCAACCCAGAAGCCTCAGCCCCACCAGACAGCTTTCATAGCTGCAGAAGGTTTGATACATGCTACTCAGGGCATAGAATATTCAGCAGTTCTACCAACCATGAACATTGCTACAAATGACAACTGACCTGGCAAGAGCTGCCCACTGGTGCAGTGTTGGAGTGAATGTTATGGGAATAACAGGTGACTTCCTGATTAGATTTAAGACCTTCTCCACAAGATGGAACTCATGCCTGGTACTGTTAACTGGGCTAAAAACTTGTAACTGGCTAGGTCATGGGCCCTAGGGGAGAGCCAAATGTTTGCTATTAAATTGCCCTCTAAATCCTTATCTTTATTTTCATAGATTACTGCATCTTCTGTCTCTCCGCAGTAGATGGTGATTAATGCAGAGGCCCACAACTTGTTCCCATGCAGAGAGTGAGACTCGAATACTCAGGCTCTGACTGGGACATCTGTATCACCCACTCTCCCTCATAGCTCAGGGATCACCACAGAGCAGGAGATGGGAAATCTGTGAGCGATGCAGGGAGTAGCCATCTGCAGTGAAGGCTTCTTTGCTGGATATGATGCAGCTGCTGCACGCATGTGGATGCTTAGCCGAGCCTGGCCCTCCGGAAGGGCAGCTCAGTTGCTGAGCTCTCGCTCCAGCCCTCGGTTCTCGATTCAGTGCTGATAGTTCACCTCTAAGCTCCGCCTCTCTCACTGCATCCTTTGTCTTTTTAAAAATTTTTTAAAAGTTGTATTTTCGTGTAATTCAAAGTACTTTTAGATTTATCTTGAAATTTCTTCTTTGCCTAAATTTTTCCTTGTGTATTGTTTGAGCCCTAAGTGTGTTGGTATTTTCCAGCTACCTTTCTGTTATGATTTGTGGTTTACCTACATGGGAGCTGAAAACACACATGTTGTGATTCTGTCCTTTCCAAATTGTTTAGTGATGCTCCCTGGTGGTCTAGTGGTTAGGATTCAGTGCTCTCTCAAAGTTGCTAAGTGTGTTTGTGTTTTGTGGCCTGCAATGTAGTCCACCTTGGCAATGAATGATTCCTGGGAGCCTAAAGATAGTGTGTTGTTAGAGGCTCTGCCCTCAGAATTCAATCACTCCTCTCCTGTTTTGCCGCATTTTTGGATCTAACCCCACTCACAGCGCTCTTCAGTTCACCTGTCTTTGCTTGGTGTTTCAAGAGCACTGCTGACGTCCCCAGCTCCAGTCACCCTTTCTCCCATGGTTCTGTCCATCATGGGCTGTGCCCTTAGAAGCATGGGGATTAAGGTGTGTGTCCTTAACATGAGTCGAGGATTATTATGCCTTGGTAGAGCTTTGACTCTGTATCATTTTATGAAGCCTGGTGTATCTTTTTATCCCTGGTGACGTCTGTTCTCTGCAGTCTGCTGTTCTGAAATTAATAATAGGTTCTTTCATTTTTTTCTCCCCTTTTCATTTTCATGTCCATATGTGTAGTATATATACATATATGTGCATGTATGCTTGCATGTATGTGAGGGTGTGCATATACATGAGTGTGTGTGTGTGTGTGTGTGTGTGTGTGTGTGTGAGTGCGTCTGGAGGCTTGAGGTTGATGCCAGGAATTGTCTTTAGTCACTCTTCTGCCTTGTTTGTTGAGGCAGAATCTCTCAGTCAGACCCAGGGACCACTGATATGGCTAGTCTTGCTAGCCAGCTTGCTCTTGGGATCTCCGGTCTCTGCCTTCTGAAGCTGGAATTACAGACAGGCCACCATGATTACCCTGCATTACATGGGTTCTGGGGACTTGAACTCTGGTCCTTGCTTGTGTGTCAAGAGCTTTAACCACTGAGGCATCTATATCCCCAGCCCACTTTCTTTTGCTTAGGGTTAAGTTGGTGCCTTCTTTCTCCTTCATTTTTTTTTTTTTTAATGTGTTACTATATTTAAAGTGGATTTCTTGTGTACAGCAAATAGTTGGGTCTTTTTTTTTTTTTTTTTTTTTTACAACATTGGCCTTTTAGTTGGTTTATTTATTTGTTTGTTTATTTATTTATTTATCTTTGAGATGGTTTTCCAGTGTAACCCAGCCTGGCCCCAAACTTGCAATCCTCCTGCCTCTGTGCCCTAATTGCTGGTATTGCAGATAAATGTCACCATGCCAGCTAGTTAGTGTGTTCAGACCATTGGCATTTAAGGTGATTAGTTCTTCACTTAGATTGCTATTTTTAAGTTCCATGCTTTGATAATCCCAGCTTTCTGCCATCTGATATTGGTTTTCATGCATATTCTCTTCAAACTGTTGCTTGCATTTTAGTATACCGTGTAATTTTTGGTTAAAAGTTGGTACGTGATGTCTTGGGTTCCAATCCAAGGGGTTAGACTCTGCTGTAGTATGACTATGTTTGGAGGAACTGAGTGGAGAGTAAGGTTTGTTACCCAGTCTAGACATGCAGTTTCTCTGTAGATTGTAACTACTAACAAGGCAAACAGGCTTATGAGAGGCTTATAAATCATATTTTAATGTCACAAAATTTTATGTAATGTCTCTGTGAATCAAGAACATTTTGAATAATGATCATGCTTGAAATACTTGTCCAGCCCCCCCAGAATTCAACAGGACAGAACTCATTTGGGTATAAATGCTGATTCATTTACTAAAGTCAGTCTGATAGCTTTCTCATTGTGTTTGGATCTTAAGTGTCTGTTAACCCCGGAAACACATTCACATACAAAATAACATCCCTGTCTCTCTGAAGGGACCCTTTTGAGCTAATGACTGGAAGTTTTGACCTCACATGCAGGGACTGAAGCCGTGTGCTGAAGAGTCCAGGCCCTTTGAAGCAGTTCCAGAGTTTCAGAGCTCCCAGCTGCAGCCAGAGGCTCCCTGCTCTGAGGCCCAGCCGCAGAGACAGTGGAGTACACATCTAGACCTTTCCAAGATGCCACCTCAGCTCTCAAAAGAGAGCGGTAAGTGTCAAGCATATGAGGACTTAAGAGACTGAGAACAAGGCCTTTCCTCCCAAGGGACGGGCAGGGGGTGAGGGAGGTGAGGGGTGGGGTAGGGGGTGGGGGGTAGGAGATGGAGATGGGGAATGGTGGGGGTGAGGTGGGGATAAAGGATGTGCAGGGCTCAAGACCCAGGCAGGACAGGTGTCTGGTGGATGTTGTCACTGAGCAGTGAAGTTAGAAGGCTCTGTGGAAGAGGATGCCTGCAGACTCCACCAGCTGGAGTCACACAGAAGGTGCAGGCATGCCAGTGGCTGTGTGCAGGGTGGGGACAGGCACCTCACACATGGCACCCCACTGACGATAACGCAGGACTCCAAAGGAAAGTCAAAGGGGAAGTGTGTGCCCGGCATGGGACACCCTTTGTTTGACCCCAGCATGACCTTTGGGAAGCTGGGTCTCAGAAGAAAGTGGATTGAGAGAACTCTCACGGGGTTATTTACTCTCTTCTTCAGCGGTCCTCACACCCCAAACCCCAACTATTCCAAAAATGGGGAGCCCTGGAGATTGGGAGGTGGCAGCCAAGTCCCAGGTAAACTGTTTTCTTTTCTCGTTGTCTTCTTGTCATGCCCCACCCCATGACTTCCCCTAGCAGAGGGGTAGAGGGCACCTTTTGTACCACTGCCCTGCTGGCAATCCCTGACCTTGATGCTGGCCCCACTGAAGTGTCCTGATCTTTCTTAGGCCAGGCCTGGCTCCTGGCTGATTTTAAAGTGTCAGTGATATTTAAGGGCCTTTCTGTGTGTGTCACAGGAAGCCCTGAACCCCGGTAGACAAGCTAAGAAGCTCTGCCAGGATCCTGCTGGAGATGACTGTGGGAACGGTACGTGCCTGTCTAAGGAAAGCGTGCACTGCTCCAGGGCCCAGCTTGCCCGTCTCTGGGACACTTGTTCCTAGAGAGAGGTTTGCACTCCTCAGAGCCAGAGCTCTGTGCTCTGCACTTTCAGGGAGGAAGAAGGTTGGCTCCTTGCAGCCAGCCCCCCCCCCCCATAGTCTGCTGGGTCGGGATCTGGGCTGTAGGCTGTTTCCTAGAGCTAGACCTGCTGGGGCTCATGATCTGGGTGCAGTGATCTTAGGTCTGGAACTGGACCAGACCCTCCATCTCAAAACTCTGCCTCTTCAGCACCCATTGAGAGCTGCCTTTTGGGGGCAGACACTTGTGAAGTGAGCTCATGAGACTGAAGCATGAAGCAAATAGCACAGGCTAGGAAATGCTCAAAGCTCATGTGACTGGCACACCTTTCTCTGAAGGCCACCCATGTGGAACACTGGTGCCAGAGGGCCCCTTCTCTGAGGGAGGAGAGACACACGAATGGGGTGAAGTAGAGTAGAAGCTTGAGGGCTGCTCACTGACAGTGAGACCCCAAAAGTGCTTAGAAGAACCCCCTTCGAGAAGTGCTGAAGTAGGGTACCCTAAAAGGGCTTTGCACCCAAACTTCATCTAGCTCTCCTCACACATTTGCTGTAACGGAAGGCTTTCCACTTTGCTGGGACCAGGCGCTGTGGGGAAGGTCATCCTTTAGACCAGCTGCAGCCTGAAAAGCCAGGGCATTCATAGCTTCATGTTAGGAGCCCGCAGGACAAAGTGCTCCAAGCACAGCATATATTAGCTCAGCAGTGCCCTCAGGGCTCTCCATTTATCCTCCCCTCCTCTCTCTCCCCTTCCTCTTCCCCCCCCTCCGTGCCCTCCCCCTCCTCTTTCCCTTTCTCTCTCCCCCCTTTCTCTATCTTTCCCCTTTCTCCTTATTCTCCCCCTCCCCCTTCTCTCCTCCTCTCTTCTCTCTCTCCCTGTTCTCTCTCCTTTTCTCTTTCCCTTTCCTCTCCTTCTCTCTTCCTGTCCTCGCTCTCCTTTTCTCTCTCTCTTCTCTCTCTCCTTCTCCCCATCTCTCTCTCCCCTCCTCTCTCCCCCTGTTCTCTTTCCTCCCTTCTCTCCCCACCATCAGGATTTGCTTCATGTTCAGTGTTGTTTTGTCTTATAGGTAACAGTGGCAATGGAGGGCAGAAGATTCCCAGCAAGCGGGAAGCACACACACACACACACACACACACACACACACACACACACACACACACACGTGTGCTCCTTCCCCCCAACAATGGCGTTGAGTCTGATAGGGTTGCTTGAAGTCCCGTGTTTGTCATTTGTGACTAGCCACCGTGTGGTGTGGTGTATTTCATAACAACACTGACAGCAGCACAGCAAGTGAAGAGCGGGCAGGTCCCCTCATTTTCAGTGAGGCGGTCCTGCAGCTTCTCGCTCCTCTCTCCAGGGAGATCAGCATGGGGATTTCTCACTGGCCTCTTTCGGGAGACGGGGGAGAGTTTCAGGAACAGTTTGGAGAAACAGTCCAACAGGTCGTTTCTGCTCAGTCATTTCTGTTCTCCCTCTTGTGTAGGAGTTCCAGTTTCAAAGCCAAGTGTCACCTCCCAGCATGAGCGAGGACCAGAGATTTTGGGTCTGAGCCTTATCAATGGGAGTCCGGCAGATTGCAGCCTGGCTAGTGAGCAGAACAAGCCAGCCCAGGAGGACTCCAGGGCCTGGGAAGAAAAGTGCCAGTGTGATGGGGAGGGCGTGAAGGCGTCGGGTGTGCACTGGGGCTATGAGGAGACCAAGGCCTTCCTGGCCATCTTAAGTGAGTCTCCTTTCTCTGAAAAGCTCCGGACTTGCCATCAGAACCGCCAGGTGTACCGGGCTATTGCAGAGCGCCTGAGGGCTCGGGGCTTCCTGCGGACCCTGGAGCAGTGTCGCTACAGGGTCAAAAACCTTTTACGAAATTACCGGAAAGCCAAAAACAGTCACCCGCCAGGAACATGTCCTTTCTACGAGGAGCTGGAGGCTCTGGTGCGGGCTCGGACAACCAACAGAAGAAGAACCACAAGTGGGCCAGGAGAAGCTGTGGCCCTCCCCAGGCTGGGCGACAGTGACACTGAGATGGATGACCAAGAGGAAGGGAGCTGGGAGCCAGAGGAGGCAACGGAAGACTGCAGTGGTTCTGGACTGGCTATGGAGGAGTCTGTCCAGGGTCGCAGCATTGCAGGGGGCCCAGCTCTGCTCCAGAGCCGCATTGGTAAGAAGTGGCATTTAACTGGATGGATGTCAGCCAGGATGCTGCTTCCTAGGTTAGAGCTCAGACTGTGAGTCATACCAGTGACACTGGAGTACGGAGCCAAGTCCCTGGACCAACCTCAGGCTCATGCCATTGTCTCTGGTGGCCACATCTCCTGGTTGTAGGGGAAATCATTCTAAAGCCTTGCTAGGTCTGGAGAGGCCCCAGCTGCTTCCCACAGTGAGTTACTGGTGACTCTCCTAGATGGTACCTGAGCCAAGTTTTCATTTCTGTAGGTGTGTTTCTCTTAGTGTGTGAGACAACAGCCTGGTCATTCACAGATAGCAAATCCGGGTTAAGGAAGAGTGGGTGAAATAATGAAATGCAGAGAAGGAACTCACAGGGTAGACTTGAGAGTCACCGTGTGGCAAACACCTAGCCTTGCAAAGGGAGAGTCACTGACATCTGTGACGTAAAGCATCCGAAGCCACGCAGGTAGGAGCAGAGCCAGGGCTCCTGCCTCATGGTCGTGTGGTCCCCCCAGATCCCATGCTTTCTCCTCGGGTTACATCACGTACCTGCCCTGGAACAGGGACTGCATTGTGCCCCTTTCACTCTTTGACCAGAGAGGAAAGGGTGTACTGAGCTATAGTCTGTCGCCTGGTTATTCAGGTCCATTTGTGTCTGGTGCTTGGGATGCTCATACTCAATGTATTGTTGAAAAGAGAATTCACAAAGGAGATGGGATGTCTTCTGAATACAGGGAGAATCTCATGGATCTCAGTGACTCATCGGCTGAAGCCAAGGGAGTGGGTCTCTTGGATGCAGTTGTTAGAACATTATTTCTCCCTTTCAGCAAGACTGCCTCTTGAAAGGGTGAGAAAGGATGCCTTGGCTGACCTTCCTCGCATATCCCTGAGAAGCAAGCTTGTGTTCCCATGTACTTGTTCTGAGTTTCTGAGACCTGTGTTCTAGACACATAGAAGTCAGGTGACCCCAGTCCTAGTGACCAGGTAAAGCTCCTTAAGTCTTACACCTCTGAACTCTTCACTCTGACAGCAGGTGTGCACTGGGGCTTCGAGGAGACCAAGGCCTTCCTGGCAATTCTCAGTGAGTCCCCATTCTCTGAAAAGCTTCGCACCTGTCACCAGAACAGCCAGGTATACCGGGCCATTGCAGAACGGCTGTGTGCGCTGGGTTTCCTGCGGACACTGGAGCAATGTCGCTACAGATTCAAGAACCTTCTTCGAAGCTACCGGAAAGCCAAGAGCAGCCATCCACCTGGAACCTGCCCCTTCTATGAGGAGCTGGACTCGCTGATGAGGGCGCGGACTGTGATCAGGGCCATGGAGATAGTAGGAGGAGCCAGAGGTCTTCCTGGATCTAGGCAGAATGGTACTGAGGCCGATGACCAAGAGGCCTGGGGTGAGATGGAAGGTGAAGATGCCATTAAACTTCTGCCAGATCCCCAAACTCCAGATACAGGTGAGCCTGGAGTCATTGGGTGTCGGTGTCGGCAGAACCTGCGGCCTGTACAGAGAGGGGACTGAAAGGACTGGAATCGGCACAATACATCCCAAAACCAAGCTTTCAGCTCCAAAGAGGGACAAAGGGCAGGGAATAAGGGGCAAAGACGGGAGATGCAGGATGAGGGAGAAGGGGAATAGAACAAGGGAGATGGGGAGGGTATTTGCCTGAGGGACAAAGAGCTGCCTCTGGATAGAGAGGAGACAGATGTGGCCTACAGGTAAATGTCAGTTTATAAAGGAAAAAGGGAAAGCCGCTGTTAGGATGAGTTGGCTTGTTTTGATTGGGCATTAATTAGGGTAGCCAAAAGGGGACTTCTGATTGCCAGACTTTAATACTTTGACAGCTGGACCTTGGTGGTCAGCCTCAGGAAGAGGAGTGGCCAGATAAGGGAATGGACCTTGGTGGCTAGCTTTAGGAATGTAATCTAATGGTTTTTTAGCAAGGCTTTCCAGAGCCATGTTTGCTGTACTCAGGCCTATTAGAGCCCTTCGGGAACCAGGTATATTATCTTTGTCTCCGAGCCAAAAGAATGAAGGAGATCAAATAGGAGAAGGTTCTGTACATTGCAATTGCATAGATCCCATCATCTCTTATTTAGTGTTATCCTGTACATGAGGATCCTGTACATGAGGTGGCCAGTCTAGCTTTTACTGGGACACATCTGGGTAGTTATGGAACTGATTCAGTCTTACACGACGCAGGATCTGTCCAGTGTACTGGAGGCTGATATGAGCTGTTTATTATTGAACACAGACTTCTGAAGAATGGCTGCATGGTTGCTGGGTAGGATTAAGGTATTCTAGACTGCCCCTCAGCTTTTTAGGGATAGAAGCACTCGTGCACACAAAAACTCGGTAGCTTCCACACTAGTCACATTTATAAGCTGTGGGATATAAGATACAAATCTGTGTTAGCCAAATTCACTAAATACATGATACCAGTATATTAATGCTAACCACGGATGAACAAAAGCCCCATTTCTGTCTGTTCTTTCAGGGTGTGAGTGGAAGCGTGAGAATGAAGACCAAACTTCAGAGCAGGATGTTTTTGGTGATTTTCCTGGAGCATTATCACAGTATCCCACAGAAGCTGTTTGCCAGGCTCCCGACTGGGGAGAGGACGATGAGAATGAAGATGAGGGGGAGTGGAGGAGTGCTCCCCTGTGGGAAGAGTATTCCTCTGAGGAGGACTTGGAAAAACTCATTGACCATCAAGGCCTGTACCTCACAGAGAAAGCCTACAGATGTGACACATGGGTGAAAAGCTTTAGTAGGAGCTTCCACTCCGTGGCCCACCAAGGAAGCCACACAGGGGAGAAGCCCTACCAATGTCTCGAGTGTGGAAAAAGTTTTAGTGAGCACTCCAACCTCACTGCCCACCAGAGAACCCACGCTGGAGAGAAGCCCTCCAGATGCCCGGAGTGTGGGAAAGGCTTCAGGGACCACTCCAGTCTCATCACCCACCAGAGAAGCCACACAGTGGAGAAGCCCTATACATGTAGGGAGTGTTGGAAAAGCTTCAAGCAGATCTCAAACCTACTGACACATCAGAGGCTCCACTCAGGAGGAACCCCTGACCAGCATAATGAACCTGGGGAGAACCTTGGCCAAAGTCCATCTTTTAGTGCCCGCTGGAGAAACTCTACGTGGGAGATACCTAAACAAGCTCAGGATGTCAGTGTGAGCATGAACTCTCCTGGACCCCACAGCACCAACTCAGAGGAGAAGCTATATCCGTGTCCTGAGTGTGGAAGGTGTTTCTCTAAGAGCTCTGCCCTCATCAGTCACCAAAGAATCCACACAGGTGAGAAGCCATATGAATGCGGAGAGTGTGGGAAGAGCTTCAGTAAGAGCTCCACCCTGGCCAACCACCAACGGACGCACACGGGCGAGAAGCCATACAAGTGTGCAGACTGTGGAAAGTGCTTCAGCGAGCGCTCCAAGCTCACCACCCACCACAGAGTCCACACGGGAGAGAAGCCCTACAGATGCCTCGTGTGTGGCAAGTTCTTCCGCGACCGCTCCAACCTCATCACTCACCAGAGAATTCACACGGGAGAGAAGCCGTACAAGTGCAGAGAGTGTGGGAAGTGTTTTAATCAGAGCTCCAGTCTTATCATCCATCAGAGAATTCACACCGGGGAGAAACCCTACAAATGCACAGAGTGTGGCAAAGACTTCAACAACAGCTCCCACTTCAGTGCCCACCGCAGGACCCATGCCGGAGGAAAAGCACTGTAGGCAACACCTCCTCCCAACAGAAGAGCAATAGTGTCTATTTATATCTCATTACCATTTCTTAAACATGCTAGAAAAGAAACCTTCCAATGTCTAAGCTTGGTGTGTATCTATAGATTCTATCTTGTAAAGTCAGGTCATTTGGATGTGATTTACACTTACAAGGATTAAGATTTGGAGGTACTTCTCAAGTGTAATTTGGTGTGTTTCTCCTCCCCTCCCACATGCACGCACACATACACACACACACACACACGCATGCACGTGCACGCGTACACACATACACACACGCAGGCATACACACACAAATCCCCCTATAGAATCGTTAGTCTCTCTTTACATCTTTACATCTGCTGTGTGAGGCAGATGGGTGATGTAGGGTTGGAGGTGAATCAGTGGCCCTACGTATTTGATTCCAAATTCTTGCTCTGCTCTTTACTGCTCTACACAGGGAGTGGTTCTTGTTCTTGGTAGTTTGCAGTTGGGGCAAACCCTCATGGGGAAACCTTGAAAGTTGATGGTGAGAGGAGGTGTCAACTGAGAACCTGTGCCTAGGTTACTCTCCTGCAAGGTCGGCAGCAGGTGGAGCAGCGGTGACGTCATTGTAGAATCAATAATTGCAGGAATGGCTGCTGTGCGTTGAACATTTACTCTTTGGCCAAGCACCTTATGTATCATTTCCTTTAGTCCTCAAAGCAGTCCTATTTTCCAGAGTAGAAGACTGAGGACTGGGGAAGTTGGGACCTGCATTGGTCACACATCTAGAAATGGAAGAGGTAGAATTCATCAAGACTCACGTGTCCCCAGAGTCTGAGGGGCTGCGTGCTTCACTGAGCACTTACATGGAGGCAGGTAACTAGTACTAGGATTGCAAAGTGTGATCGCTAATACATCACCATTTACTGACTACAGAAGCTGCTGAGAGTTGCTGCAGGTGAGAGGATTTGGGCTGCTTAGAATTGGTGAAGCTCTTTGTGTAAGGCTTAGTCGTTAGCAAAGTGATGGGCAGGAGTCCCATCTTCAGGGTCATATGGGTGGGAGAGGGAGGTAGGCTGAGACCACTGGGTCTCGAGTAGGATAGTGCTTTGGCGAAGAAGTGGGTCTGAGAGTCCATCACAGGATAATAGGCCAAACCAAAAGGCCTTCCCCAGTGCTCAGTCACTGCTGCCCTTTGGTCTCAGGCTCATTTTCTTCATTTCCAGTCCTCATGCCAAGATGTTGGCATTAACAGTGTTCAAGGCCTTGAAACATTGTCCTTTACAGAGAGGGCTTGGAAATGGTTCCCTACGACAGGTTCCTGGCACCATTTCTGCTTGAGCCTTCTTGTCCCAAGCTTCCGAGAGAGTGTGGTGTCAGAGAGGTTCATGCACAGTGGTTCTCTTGTTTTTGGCACTTTGGCCTTCAGAGGTTTTTCCTTAGAAGGGTTTAAAAGTGCTGACCAAGGACTTGGTCTTTTGTGGATTTCTAAAGGAAGATGACTTTCTTATATCCATGTGTGACCTTAGAATGCCATTCATATCCCAGTTATTTTTATGGCCAGATAATATGATCAGATAATAGCTGTGAAGAACTTTTTATTTGCATGTGAAAAAGTGGGTGGAAGGGCTTGCCATTCCCACTAAAGAGGTCACTCCTTAGCCCCTTTCTTTGTTCCAGAACCCCCTTCCCAGGCAGGAACCATTCCACCCAAGGCTACATTCTACCAGCTCTTTTCAGCTTACCTTTCCCAACTTACCTCTGGGAAGCAGAGGTCATGGGATGAGCCCTGGCTAGAAACCAGCAAATGGCAGTAACTGCAATACAAATATCTATAGAATACTCTGGGTCTGATAGGAAGGGTCCCAAAGGAGAGAAGAACATTCTAGAGAAAGTTACCAAGGTATGAAGCAGCATGGGTTCTCAGTGAAGGTAGAGTCCTAAAAGGTTTGCAGGGATTGGGGATGGTGTGTGGGGGGGTGGCACCCAAGATTGTTCAGGTGCTGGGGCAGAGTCATTCTAGGTTCAGCAATCCCCCAGGCTTTTTCCTTTCACAAGTTGGAAGCTTAGCTGGGTGGGCCTTCAGTGGTGCTAATCTCTGTCAGTCCAAGCCTCTCTTTCAGCACATGCCTTAGCTGTAACATTAAATTGCCAAGTGCTTTTTTTCTCTCCAAACTGTACATTTTGAGTTTCTTTCTGTCTCACTTGCCATTTTTCATTGTAGACCTGCATTAAGAGTTACTGGCACTAACCATGCCACAGGCACAATGTCATGCTGTCTTGATATACTCCTAAAGAAATCAGCTCATTACTGAGACAGGGTTTCTCTGTATTGCTTTGAGACTGTCCTGGAACTAGCTCTGTAGACCAAGTTGGCCTCAAACTCACAGAGACACAACCTGCCTCTGCCTCCCGAGTGCTGGGACTAAAGGCGTGCACCACCAACTTGGCCAGCTCATTACTTTTTAAATTTAGTCTTGAGCAGGTTCTTAGAGCATGGGCAGAAGGCAGACAGATTCTTTGCTGAATGTCATATAAATGGTCTCAGCCCAGTTGCTAATAAAGACCTTGCTTTCTTCTGAATCCTCGAGCTGGGCCCCAGTCTGCATTTCTCCCAGCTCTACTATTGTCCCAGCTCTTACTGTAATGGCCCACTAAGCTTTGCTTATAACACTCAACCTCAAACAAAAATCAGAGAGAAAAAACTGGAATTGAGTGAGGCTATAAAACAGTCAAAGTCTACCCCCGGTGATATGCTTCCTCCACCAAGGTCCTGTCTCCTAAAGGTCCCATAACCTCCCTAAGAGTACCACCATCTGAGGGCCAAGTATTAAATGCCTCAGCCTATGACATTTGTCATTCAAACGACCACAGTCATATATAGCTGGAGCTTAGATGTCAGACTCGGGGTGATATGTTTGTATGTGCATTGTCAAAACCCAACAACTGACTGGAGCTTGAATGTGTTGCTTGCCAGGTTGCTGGTTGGATTGTATGGCAGGGTTCCAGTTAAAAGAAGTAAGGGTTTGAACTGTTGCAGTGGCTCTGTTGAAGGGAAGAGATGCTTTTCCAGGGTTAGGACAGCAGGAGACAGTGAAGTGTCTTTGGTGACTGGATGCAAGCCTCATTCCAGATTGGGGACATGGGGAAGAGACGTAGACAGACCCAGGCGAGAAGAAAATATAGGCTTAGTTTGTGGATCTTTGAGTAACAATTCATTTGAATGTTGGAGCCTGGAACTGGGGAGAAGTTAGGCCTAGAGAATTGTATATATGGACACTGCAGGCAAGCTCAGAGAGCTAGTATGTACTGACTCTGAGGTTAGGGAATAAGTCTAAAAACAACTTGCCTTTATTGTCAGGGGGATGGAGAGAGGGAAAGAGATAGAGAAAGAGAGAGAGAGAGAGAGAGACATCTACACATCCATGAGTCTGTACCCTTATGTGTGTGTGTGTGTGTGTGTGTGTGTGTGTGTGTGAGAGAGAGAGAGAGAGAGAGAGAGAGAGAGAGAGAGAGAGAGAGAGAGGAGAGAGAGAAAGGATCAAGGATCAAACTTGGGACATCAGGCTTGGTGGCAAGTTCCTTTACCTGCGGAGTTGTCTCCTTGGCCCAGGAGCCAGAAGTTTTTGAAGCAATACATGCAGTGGTATTTGCAGTGGATGGGGCATGGCGGGTACCCATGGTGCTCTAGGGTGCTGTCAGCCTGCTGTCCTGGACACCTCCCAGTTTCCCTTTTGCTTCTACTGTGTGGGTGCTGATGCTTTGGCTGTCCCCTCCCCTGGCCTCTTGGGAGCCAGCTGTCTGACCTGCTTGTGTGACTCCAGGGCCCTCAAAGCCCTGACCGCCTGCACCATCTTCAGGCTCTTTGCCTATGCACTCATCACATATGTGCACTCTCAGCAGCCCACACACAGCCCTATGGAGCTTTACATGCTCAGACTCAGCTTCTCAGACATGATTTCTCCCTGAGTGTTTCAGATTAGGTTGGGTTCTCCAGCTGCTGGGGTAGGCAGTTCCCAAAGTTAAAATGAATCACATAAAACATCCTTTTTTACCGGTTTGATCTTTTCCTTGCTTTGGATGCTCCTTACATCCCCCAGTTTGGAGCAAACACCATTCTTATTCCCTATCCCAGTCTGCTCCAACAGGTCCATGCAGCCTACAGGGTGGAGTAGGGCAGGATTTGAAGGAGAGCTGGGCCTGAAACTGGGAAGGAGTGGCAATTTGGCCTTGCCCTTCTCCTGGCTCTCTTGCCACTCCCAACATCTGCACAACCACTGGTGTGTTGTTGTTTGCATCATTTCCCCACCTCTGCCCAAGTCTCTGTAAGGACCTGTTCTTGTCTGTGTGGTGGAGGAAGCAGGGGGTGTCACCGTCCAGTCCTCAGTGAGTGGCCATTTCCCCCATTCTCATGGTGCCTTTGTTTTAACAGTCAAGGCAAGAGCTCAGATCAGTGGGGAGCAGAACCCTTTTCACTCATGTATTTTCTAAATGCACGGAGCATATGGCCTGGGGTCCACGTGGTCATTGGCTTTCCCCTTAGGACATCATTAGCAATTCTCCTCATGTAGATTCTTGTCATGTTTGCTGTTGTGCAAGGCTTATTGATAGCCACATTTATTTCTTTTCTGTACATTTGTGTTGCAAGAAAATACTGGTCATTCCACCTAGAGGGCAAGGGTCACAGGAGGGGCGATTAAAAAAACAAAACAAAACACCAAGTCTCTGAGAATAGCATCAGACACTCACCTGAGCTCCAGTGGAAGAGGGGCTGTGGCTGCCACTGACAGCCATTGCCAAGAAAGTCTCAAGAGTTCCTGGGGTTCAGGAAGCCCAACTCTGGTGACATTTGGTGACTCAGGAGGGAAAGGGGCTTCTCTTTCCATTCAGAACCTGGGTTTGCCTCAGAGCTGGAGAAATAACAGACCATAAGCAGTTTCTGCAGTCTCAAGAGACAGGTGAGACCAGCAGTTGGTGCCTTGAGGACACCCCTAGAGGCAGTGGTGAGAAGCTTTCTACAAACCCATGGGCCCAGAGCAGGAGAGGGCATCTCTGTGGATGGTGGCTGATCACATCTGAGAAGCCCCATTCCTGAAGTTTCCAAGAAGTCAAAGAAGTAAGAGAAGGCAGGCAGGAGTCCCAGTTTTGTGTGTCCCAGGGACACAGTACATAATCATAATTTGACAAACACAATTCACATAATGGAGCATGGAAATTGACC